CCACCCCATCTGCAATCATTAACATTACTTATTTCAGTTTTAATAAAACTAACAGATTCATTTATAAATAAGACTATTTGTCATCAATTATATAAATGAATTCAATCCTTAACTATATCTGATTCCTTATCAAATCGTGGTTATGATCAAAATATGGACGACTCACATATTCTTACGAATGTTGTTCATATATTTGGTAACAAATGCGAACATTTATCATTAAATCTAACAACATTTCCTAAAACGGTTTTACCAATTTTACGAAATATACGACAACTACGTAGTTTGCATGTACATTATCACGCTTGGTGTTATAAATCGTATATTCCACCAACATTTTGGTTTCAAGAATCGACAGTAGAAGTTGATGTTTCCGATTTTGTCTATACTCCAGGTGATTTTAATTTTTACATAAGGTTTGGAAAACGACCATAGGAAAGAATATGAAAAATGTCGAAATTACTTTTATGAGTGAACAAGAAACTCGAGATTTGTCATGTATAATGTGTCAAATAACGGATGGGTCGAAAGTTTTGAGACAAAGTGTTTGTCTATTTTTCACTACTTCGAAAGTATTCTAGATAAATGTGAAAAGCTGGATAAGCATCAGAATTTAATGCTCTTTCTGAATATGAGCTCAAAAATTTTCTGTTTGGTTTTGTACAAGAGTAGTGAGACAATCTTTGGACATGCCGGAAATTTGTATTGATTAATGAATACATCGGCATTTTTTTCTCCCGTGAGTCCTGTGTGAAGATGCTAAAAACGGTTTAATATGTTAGTTTTATAGAGTAGACAGTCCTCTACAAAATGTGATCTCGAATTCCAATATAGCTTTTATACAATTAAAACTATAACCATTTTCTGAGAAGCTATTTCAACCTGAGATGGATTTTGATTACAAAGTCAATTTTTCAAAAACGAGGATAAGTGGAAAATGAAAATTTACATGTCTTGTAAGAAAATAAAAAGAAACTAAAATAGCGCATTTTGCAGGGCAGAATTTGCTCTACAATCTGATATATGAACCAAAGTTACAACATTGAGTTTCGAATTGAAACAGTGAAAAATACAAAAATGTACAAAAAATATTTTTGTCCAAACCATCTTTTAAAGCAATTCAATGATTCCCTCACTGCTTCTACGCAAAAATAGATACAAAATATCTGAACTCATATTTGGAAATAGCATTACATTTTGACCCTGATCCATCTTTTTTGCATTCATCTAGAATGCTTTCGAGATGGTGAAAAATGGGCAAACATTTTGTCTCAAAACTTTCGGCCCACCCATTATTTAGATATCGTTTTAACTTGTTTTGTTACAATAATTCAAAAAAATATGATATTATAATATATAAGCAAATTATTCTATCTCTATATATGTCACAAATTTCAAGGATAATTTAATATAAAGTATAACAGACGTCGATGCTATAAGAATGGACATTAAAGAGAAAGAGAAAGAGAGAGCAAACAGCTGATCGTATTTCACAATGTAACTTGAAAAAGCAAAACAAGTATAGAAAGAAAGAAAGAAAGAAAGAAATATTTCGTATTGGTAAGGCCTTGTCTACACTAGGAAAAGAATTCAGTATTAATTTTGAATTAAATCTGCATGCGTCTACACTTATGAGTTAAATACATTAATCAGAACTGAGAAATGGCCACTATTATATAGTCAAAATACATAAGTCTAGCACATTTTCTGATACAAAATGTCACTTCTATCGGTCTTTGCTCATTAACGACCAACTAATGACATTTGTTAACAAAGAATCGACAGTTCTAACTTATTTCTTTCAACTGAAGATTCATTAAGGATTGTAGTGTTGCTTATTCTTATGGTTCAGTCTCTATTCATTTATATTCTACAGTTTATCATATTGAGAATACCTATCGAGGATATAAAGCGACTTTATCGAGGCGCATTCATCATTTTAATTAGTGGATTAAGTTCTTTCTCGATTGGTGCATTAAATTTTATTCGTCTCTGAAAAGTGCATTGAATCTGAATTAACTTTTCGATCAACCACGTATTTTCGACTTCTTTTTTTCAATCGATAGCAAAAAAAACGTATAGTTTACTACTAATGCAAGCATGGGTTGATTTCCATGACTTCAGCTTATGCGAAGCTTTGAAAACTCTCCAGTTTTCACTTAAAATTTTTCGGTTCCATCGGTTTTGCCTACCGTTCCGTTCTCTATGAATTCATGGCTCTGATTTCAGGTAAGAGAAACTAAAAACTTTCGATTTGGTTCTCAGTTTTATGTTTTACAGAATTGCAGGGTTCTAATATATGGTTGATTGCGATCACTTGTTCATTGGTCTCGATTCTCAATTGAACATTATCGAAACCAAAGAAAGACTTGAGCGAGCATATTGTTCTTTAAATATTGCGAATATTATTATCCTAAGAAATCAATGTAATTTAGATTGTTTTGAAAAGAAAAAGAAGTCATAGTAAATTGACGCATGGACCTATTTTTAAATTTTTCATTTATTTTATTGTTCGATTGTTATATTATTAGATTTGTATATAAGGTTTTTTGCTTCTCATCTGCTCCAATTCTAAATCATGTATTTTTAAATTAGTTTTTAAAATATTAAATCAATTTAGAAGAGGTTTGTAGTTATACTATAAGAGCTAAATTATTTTTATATGTTAGCATATAAAAATCAGCAAATTCGAAGTAAATATTTAAGTATATATCGAGGTATAACATTAGGGCATTACTCCTACTTGTAGCATGATTATATTCGTCACTAGGCGGTTGTCATTCTCAATGATGCACATTTACAAAAAGTATTTTATTTGACGAAAAGAAGATTTTATTCTTGCTTCTTATTTTGTTCTAATATGAAATAAATTAAAATTTATTTAATTTATCTTTTGGAAGAAAATAAATATAGTTCTCACTAGTGAAAAGTGCATCTGCCATGAATTGCAAGAAAGAAATTTGTTTCAATTCCTCTGCCAATATACTATATGTATCAAACTAGAAAAACTCTCGAACTTACATTTATTTATTAATGAAACTACGATTAACGCATTTATTGCAAAATCATAATTAATGAGGATTATTGTGTCGACAATTAATTGTCGATATTTTCAGAATATTCAAATCAATGATTTTTACTCAAATTAAACGTTCTGATACGTCTTTTTTTGTTAATATATGTACTTTACATTCGCCTACAGAATAACAGAGATCATGCGCTGAGTTCATGAAAATCATACGAATGAGTACACTTGAAACAGTCAATTGGAATGAAATAATAAGAGATTTTCTGCTGAAGATGGAAGAATGATTCTCTCCATTGACAATGTTTGCATCTACTTACTCATATAGATTCAATTTTTGGCCTACCTATTACAGACTTTGCTATTTAAGTTGTGAATTTTTTTATGACTTGCATCATTTTGAATATAAAACTGAAGAAAAAAAAAACGAACAACACGTATAAAATATAATTAAAATTAATTTCATGCATTATGCATATTGTTTTCGTAGTTCTGATAGGTGACTGGATTCAATGGAGTATTACTATTGCTAGATTGCGATACAGGCTTACTTTTGCTGTGAATCTGTGCAGCTCGTAATGTTTTCGACAAAGTATTTTGTTTGTGATCACATTTACACATCCTTGAACAAGAATATAAGCTCATGAATTAGAGTGTTAAACGTTAAAACAAGAATTTTAAACATATAATCTTGCCGAAAGACTTCAAGTCTTGTCTCAAGATGTGTCCATATCACATGATTTGCTCACTCAAGAATTTCATGAACATGAGAACAAAATTCGACTAGAGTATTTCTATGCAAAGTTTCAACTAGAAACTCAAAAGTCAGTTTTTCTGCTACTCCTACATTCATTTAAAAATACTGTAAAAGTGTGGTATTTCTATAGCAATAAGCTAAGGGAGCGAATTCTTTTCAATGTATTCATAGATTATTTGAGTCTACATAATGCAGTTAGCCTTGACTCAAAAACGGTTTAATAGTTGGAGAACTTCTCTCGTCAGTAACAATTCGATCGACTGAGATTAAACTTTTAGAAAAGTGTTACCAATAATTAAATATTATTGTCTTGTAGACAAAGAAAAGGATCTTTTACTAAACAGAAACAGCATGTCGATGATCATTGTATTGGTGTCGAATACTAAGAAAATTTCAGTGATACCAATTTTCTAGTGAAATAAATTTATCTTTTAAGTCAAGAACGATTGTAGACGGAATTTCACTTCTACGTTATAATACCAAGAGTTACTCATCTATTTGATAAAAAACGAAATCAAAATTTAATAGACAGTATTTTGCAAGTCATAGAAATCGGAAGCAAAAAACAAATTTCATTCATCATAGCTTTCTCTCCTTACTTATCAATCAAGGTGGGATTTTTCTGATGGTTTTCGTTCTTGGTAGAAAATGTACACACAAATTTTCAGATCTCTACTATGTATGATAGTTAAAATCTGATGAACTGAAGACAGTGGTTGACTACTATATGTATAGAATTCACGGAAAATGTTTATATAAAGTTCATTAAATTTAATGTTCTGTATGCATAATAACCATAGAAAACTTTTGAAATGAAATTTATTACATGAAATTAGAGAATTCAGTTCAATATTCTATATAGTTTTTGAGTATAAAATATTGAAGAGAAGACAATAAAATAAGAAATTTATCGACTGAAACTTGATGATTTTCTTATTATTTTTATAGTAGATTGTAAAATATTTACGTAATCTTATCGGTTTACAGTTTATAGAATTAGTTATCAATAGAAAACCTTTGAAATTTACTATTGAATAGTTTCTCTATCTAAATAATCAAGAATTTTTAAAAACGCGTATCAATATGATATTCATGTTATTTTTTGTCTGAACATTTTCATATTCATTGAAAAATTACCAAAACTACCCAGTTTCGTCATAGACGTTGCGTGACGATGCTTAAAACTGAAATCTTTTCATCTGGGAAACGTCCAAATAATTTTCACATTATATTTTTGATAAAGATGACAAGTGAAACGTCAAGATATTGCGGAAAAAAATTGCTCATGTTTTCCAAATGCAAACGCTGCCTATTTTAAGCATCACCAAACATTTTTATCATAAAAATAAGTAGTTAGTTTTGATGTTTTCCGAAGATACAACTTTCAAAAAATCGATCCTGAGTCAGATACATTTAAATCACAGAAAACTCAACCCTATATCATCATGTTTTCAGAAGATATTTAACGATCAAGGGTGATTTAGTGACCGCAACTTTTCTGTCGACTCTCATTTTATAGACTTAAGTTTCTTATTACTTGAACGAGTATGTCACACTCAATTCTCTTTTTTTTCTTTAAATTCTTACTTTTAATGTAAAGAAAAAAGATGACAATTTCAATACATCCAAGCATGGTCATATATTTATAGAACT